GTGAAGCTGCCGGCCGGGGCCCGGGGCCCGTCCTGCCTGTACTGGATCTGCTGGTGCTCCACCTGGGGGGCAGAGGCTGGTGACCCTCCTGGGAGGACACGGGCCACCAGCCCTGCTGGGCAGGGGACCTGTGCACCCCAGCCTGGGAGGGGGGAGGGAGCCCTGCAACCACCGCTGCTCTGGGACAGCCCTGCGGGGTGGATCCAGGGCAAAGAGGGGAAGCAGGATCCCTGTGGGAAGCAGACCTGGAGCCCAGCGTGGGTGCTCTGCCTGCGTTCCCACCCTGTATTCCCAGGGACGTTTAAACACAGGTTGGGGGCTGATGCGTTCCTTGTCTGCAGGATGAACCCACCACCCCGAGCCCTTCCATCCCGAGGGCAAATACCTCCGATGGGGAGAGGAGCCCCGCAGTCCTCCCCATCCCCCCAGTGCTGCTGGGGGCTGGAGCCCACCCCTGGCCTCTTCCCACCCCCCCCCGGGAAAGCAGCATGGTGGGCAAGTGGGCACCCTTGGCTGCTCTACCTCGCTCCAGGTGAAGCTGTGCAGCCCGCCGTCCTCAGGCCGCTCGCTGTTCAGGAGGGTGCCAAATCGAGGGGGCTCAAGCACCTTGAACTCCATGCCAAGAGCCGTGAAGTAGGCATTGGGGATGCTGAGGATGCCCGTGGAAAGGGTGACAGAGCCACCTCCTGGCACCGTGATGTTGTGGACATCCAGGGGGACGGCGATGGGCAGCATGGCCAGGCTCACCACCACCCCCTCCAGCGGGTCTGCGCTGCTGGCTGTGATGTCCACAACAAACTGGTCACGCTCCTCCTCTGGCTTGGAGTGGAGGGAGAGGACTCTGCCGTTGTTGATGTCCTCCTGGGTGAAGGACTGGATGGGGTCCAGGCTGGGCTGCTCGTTCGAGTCTTGGCCATGCTGAAGCATTGCCAGGAAGCCAAAGGCCGGGGGGCTGCTCACCAGGTAGACTATGTCTTGGGGAGGGATCTCTTCGTGGGTCACCTGGGAGTGTGGGGGAGACACATCATGAGTGGGGGGCTGGTGTCTGAGTGGCTGGGCTGCCCCACAGCCCACTGCTGTGCACCCCCCCAAGGCCTTGCTGTGGTGTGAGCTGCAGGAGTTGCCTTCTTGCCGAGGCCGTGCCTGAACCCCCTGCTTCTCTGCCGCTGGGCAAAGCCTGACATGGGCACGACCCCTTTGCTCTGGGCAGATGGGAGAAAATGGAGTCCTACCAGTGGCTGTCCTGGTTTGGTGGGTGGGGAAGTGATGCAGGCTTGGGGAATGACTAGAGAAGGGGATACTCACCAGTAAGTACTCCTCCTTGATCCCAGCCGCTTCCCCCTGGAAGACATGGATCTCCTTGTGGTTGACTATGCGCAGGGGGCTGGGATGGGTGCCCAAGAATATGCTGATGGCCAGCGTGTCCTCCACTGCCACCTCGTTTGCTTCTACAGTGAACTGGAGCTCATCCCGGGTGTTCCTGCTCCCGTTGTGGTGGTAGGAGATCTCTCCTGCTAGCAGGTCCCTCTGGGAGAAGGCCATGACCGGCTGCTCCCCTCTCAGCACAGTCCCCAACCTTGGGGGGGTTGTTATGAGGAACCTTATCTCTTCATCTGACCTGATGTCCATGTTGGTCTCCAGGCTGAGGACAGCGGAGTCAATGCTCCCTCGGCTGCCTTGGTGGATGACTAGACCGGTGTTGTTGACTATTTTGATGTAGGGGTCTGATGCCTGTACTTCCAGGAGGGCTGTGGTTTGGTGGAGGCCATCTGAGACCTGTAGCTGGATCCAGCCCCGGTCAGCCCCCGAATGGACAAAGAGGATCTTCTTCTTCCTCAAGTCATCCTGTGTGAACCGATAGACCTGGTGGCTTCTGTCATCGGCAGACACGATGCTGCCAAACAAAATGTCCTTCCTCGTCAGCACTAATTGTGTGTCAGAGAAGCCAGAGTCCTTGTCAGTGAAGGCGATGTTATCTGTTGTCAGCAGGTGCTGCCCATTGCGCACCACATTGAAGACTTTGTTCACCACCTGGACTGGGGTGTGGTCATTGATGGGTTGGATGGAGACCCTGAAAACACCTCTCACCTCCTCTGCATCAGGCTCAGCGCTGCCCTCTCCCTGCCTGATCGCTACAAAGGGGATGTCGTCCTCCAGTGTCTCAGAATCATCGTGCTGGTACAGCAGCCGGCGGTGGAGGATGTCATCATTGGAGAACTCTGTGATCTCCTCTCTGGAGGCCCAGCCATGGGATGCAGCCCAGGCCAGCTTCCCGTGTGCTGGCCCCTCAATCACTTCGTAGAGGTAGTCCATGCTGTTCATGCTCTGTACAAACAAGTGGTCCTTGGAGATGACGGCTTGCCCCCCTTCCGGCACCGTCAGGAGGACATTGGTCAGGGCTGGTGCATCAGGGTCCCCACCGATGCTGATTGTGTAGGTATAGACAGGAGAGTGCTGCTCGCCAGCATGGACACGAAACTGGAAGGTGTCCTCGGCTTGCTGAGAGTTCCTGATGGTTGCGCTGTAGCTCAGGTGGTTTCTTTGCAGGTTGTCTTGGGTAAAACCAAAGCCTTCAGTCAGCCTGTTGCCGAGCAGCTCCAGGTTTCCCTTTTTGGGAGCCTGGATTATCACGTAGTGGAAGGGGACTGGGGCAGAGTTTGGATCTTCCAACATTGCCTCCAGCTCCTTACTGGTGATATTTCTGTGCCGCTTGTTCTTCATCTGGAGGGGGACCATGGTCCTCATCTTAATGGTGGCTCTCTTAATCCTTATGAGAAAGGTGTTGTTTTGCAAGACCTTCTGCCCCACCTGGACTTTGAATCTCAGTTTTTCCACAGCATCTTCCAGCCGGTGCTCCGGGTCTGTGCTAAAATACTGGATGCGCCCTTGCTCCAGGTCCTGCTGGTGGAAAGACTCGACTTTTTTCCATTCCCCTCCCATGCTCCCTTGCTTCTGGACCTCTCCATACCTTAGGGGCTCTGTGAGGACATAGAGGATGGTGACCCGTTGTTTCACAGCATTTGTCTCCACTGACAGGTTGGCTGTGGTAATGCGCGCAGCCCCTCCCTGGGAGATGGAGAGGCCGGTGTTGTTGTGCAGGCGGATGTCAGGGTCAATGGCGAGGATCCTCAGGGTGGCGATGGGGCTTGGGACTGTGCCATCGCTGACCTGCAAGGTGAGCTGTAAGTTTGTCCCACTCTGGTGCACGTAGACTACGTTGCCTGCTTCCAGGTCCCTGCAGGAGAACTCTTCAATGGGCACTCCAGGGTGAAAGTCATACTCCACGTAACCCTCCTCCATCTGCTGGCCACCATGCAGCTGGAATTCGAGGTCATCGCATGATGTGTCATCATCTAGGACCTGCAGGATGTCTGTGGTCAGGTGTTTCCGTGTGTGCTTTAGTACTGTCATGTGGTTCCCATGGGGAAAGATCACCTGTGGGGCATCGTTGATGGGGTTGATCATGATGGGCAGCAGGTACATCTGCCCCTGCCGCAAGCACTCTGGGACCCCTTGCTGGGCAGTCACTGTCACCTCCAGCATCAGCTGGTCCATGGGCCCCTCGGAGCCATCATGGACATATCTGACTTTCCGATTCACAATGTCCAACAAGGTGAACTTCCTTCTGCTCCTGGACCCAGGAATGTCCAGCTCCAGCTGTCCGTGCCTAGGGTCGTTGGTGATGCTAAAGAGGATTTGGGACTGCCGGATGTTTGCAAGGCTCAAGTCTACCGTTGGCTGGGTGTGTTTCCACTCCAGGTAGGCCATGCCCCCTTCAGAGACGATGAGGGGGCTGACGTGCAGCAGCCTGCTGATGTTGGCAAAGGCGGGCGGGAAGCTGTTGTCTGGCCGGCATGGTTCCACCACCAGGCCTGGTGCTCCCGACCACACATCTGGAGGTGGGGAGGTGGGTGCCTCGTCCTGCTCGTACGCCTCGTCATAGTCCCAGTAGTGGTCCTGCTTTCCACAGCCTGATGTGATGTCCTTTGTGATCATGGCATCTTGCAGACTCCTCCTCTGCAGGTTTATCCGCAGGTCCTCCAAGCAGCCAACAAATGAGTTGTTGGTCATGGTCCACACCGACATGAAAGCAAGATGGTGCTCCCTCAGCCTTTCCAAAGCTTTATCGTTCATACCTCCAATGAAGAGGTTTCCTTGAAGGTCCAGGTAGTTGTTGATGCCCCGGCTGGATGTGGATGAGGCGTAGTAATCAATCAGGATCTCAAACTTGTGGATGTTTGTGTAGACTTTGACATAGTGCTGCTGCTCATCGCTGATGAAGACATTGTTGTGCAGGACAATGATGCCATTCCCCTTCTCAACAAACCCTCTCAGGCGCCCGTTGGAGATCTCCAGGTAGAAGAAATCATTCTCCAGCCCTGCGTGGTAAATGAGGGGTGCCTGGGTGATGCTCGTCGTTATCACAAATTCAATGGTGGCTTCCTCCCTTGCATCCCACGTGGGAAACGCAATGTAGGAGTGCGGCCCCAGGAACCCGAAGGGTTCCTCTGGCTCTGCGGAGAACTGTGTGCTGCACCCTTCCTGGACCCGATGGAAGATCTTGGAGCTGCCATCAGAGGACAGTGTGGAGAGGACATCCAGGCCGTTGAATGTCACTAAGTGGAGGCAGCCTCTGAAGGGCGAGCTGGCCTCAGCGAGGTACGGCAGGTCAAGGCTGCCTGTTCCGCCAGCATAGAGGCCGTACTGGATGTCCAGCTCCCGTACGGGTCCTGCAATGTCCACGGAGCTGTTGAAGAGGCCATCGATGGTCAGCGTCATCCTGCCATCTTCCACCAGCAGCTCCACATCATGCACCACCAGGTTATTGAGCTGCAGCTCTGCTGGGGACTGCAGTGTCACCTCCTCTGAGCCCAGCTGCAGCTTGGCCTGCAGGGAAGGACATGGAAAGTGCTCAGCTCAAGCAGGGTGTTATCTGCAGCACAGGAGACACCTCTCCACCTACCAGCAATACCTACTGAAGCGTGGACTGTTCCTGGGGGCTCACAAGTGGTTTGGTCCCTCTGTTCACGACTGTTCGCCCTGCCCTCCTCCTCCTCTGTGCATGTTCCTCCTTCCCCAGCTAGAGCACCCTGTGGGCATGCCTCCTCTGTCCTGTGCTCTGCATTTCTCTCCTTTTTCACTCTTTCTCAGCAAACCCCAGTCTTGGGACTATCTTGGGGTCCTCCATCTCCCAGTCCTGCCGCCCCACCTTTCCCTCTCCCCCCATGGAGGAGCCCTGCCAGATTCTGGCTTGTCTTTCCCTGATCCATCTTGCCCGCTGCCCCCCCATCCCTGCAGCCTGGGCTGCTTCCAGCCCTTGCCCTGGGAACTGGCGGGGGAAATAGCAGGCTTAGCTCCCCACAAGCAGCAGCCTGGAGCCTGCCTAAGTAGAGGGTTAGCTGATGGACCCTGAGACACACGGTCTGCATTAGGGAGACCTCCGGCCAGCTGCTCGCTTGCTCCCCTGCTTGGGTTTGATGTGGTCGGTGGCCCAGCCCAGGCTGCAGGAGAGGCAGGATGTGTGCCTCGGATGCTCCCTGCTCTTTTCCTTCATGGTGGGTGCCAACACCACAACCACAAGAGGGAATGTCATTCTTCTGTCCCTTCCCATGCCCCAGCTGGGCTTGGCCTGTGATGGGATGGGGGGAGTCTGCTGATGGAGACCTTTCTCTGGATTCTCTTGGCTCATCCCTTCTTTTTACTAACCCCTTGCACCCCGAGGGTGCCGTGCACCCTGTCTGACTGTGCAATGTGCATGGGGTGCTGGTGTCTGGGTGTCTCCACCACGTTCCCCAGCATCACCCTGGGCAGTGGGTGAGGAGCATCCCAGCTGGAGCCCATTGCTCTGTATTTAACAGATTCTCCCAAGACTGTGTCCACTCTCTTAAACTTTTAACATCCCCTGTCAGGCGTCTTGACAGCTTGGCTGTCCATGCTTGTGTTTGGGCCTCTGGGTTGCTGCTTTCAGGTGCTGCCCCTTCATCCTTGCCCTGGAAAAAGCCCTGAGCCATTGGCTCCAGCCTGCATGGGGCTGCGGGGGTGCTGACCTGCAGGGTGCCGGCTCGCAGCTGGAGCAGGAGGTGGTCGGGCTGGCCGGCGGCCAGGAAGAGCAGCCCGCTCCCCTGGCTGGTGTACAGCTGCAGGCGGAGTCGCACCGTGCGCGAGGCGTCTGCCAGCGGCATCTCCACGAAGCTGTCCCCAAAGAAAGAGGCTGGGAAGAAAAAGGAGAGGGGGTCAGGGAGGGAAGGACACCCCCCACGAGCCCTGTCTGTGCGGGTGCTGTGAATGCAGAGCCCCCTGAGCCTGCCCATGGGTCTGTCCCCTCCCGGGCTCCCCATTTGCCCTGTGACGGTGCTGGAGCCCAGCAGCCTGGGAAGACCCTCAGGGATTCTTTTTTTTTTTTCTGATTTTCCTATAGAGGAAAGGGTTTCTAGGGGCTGGGTGCATGGAGGCAGAGGTTGTGTTTCTCCTCACCCATACAGCATTTAGGAGAACATTCCTCCTTGTTAGGTGGCTAGGGCAGATGTGGTACCACCTTTCACCGGGCCGAGTTCCCCAGGGTTAGGAGGCAAGCTATTACCCTAATGAGTCTTTCCCACTTCTCCCAAAGCTGTTTCCCTTCAGAGGAATATGAACCCTTCCAGTGGTGGCCGTGTCGTGCCTTGGCTGGATGCCCCGGCTGGTGCTGATCAGAGAGCTGCTGTGTGGGAGCCCTGGGGATGCCGCTGGGCCGGCCAACACCATGCTCTGCACCTCCCCCTGCTTCCCACCACTTCCTAACAGCTCTCCGTACCGTCCAAACATTGCTGGCGCTCACCCTGAAGGTGGCCACCCCAGCAGTGTGGGAGGAATAAATGCCTGTGCCTGCCATCCATATGTGGATGTGGGACTGCACGGAAAGCTCAGGCAGCTGCCGCTGGAACGTGTCCAAGGCGCAGTATACATCAGCCTCCCGGGAACTCAGCGCAATGGCATGCGGTCATGAAATGAAAGACTGTGCCACAGGCCGCACACCCGAGAGGGCAGAATTAAAAGCACAGGGAGCGGCAAGGCTTAATTCAACAGTGCTTATACTTTTTTTTTTGCTGGCTCAGGGCACACTTGTGCCTTGCACGCAGATTAAATGCATGTGCCTGCAATGCACTGCCCCCCATCCTGGTGAGCTCCAGAGCAACTCGTGGCAAAGTTAACGCTTGCAGGGGAAGGCATAAACACTCAAAGACCTGACCTGTAAGTTGTAAATATTTGGGGAGGATATGCTGGGGGGGAGGGTGAACATACACACTTTCAGTCCATATCTAGTCACGGTCCGTGAAGCCTGTGGTGCTCGAGTTTATGTGCACGGAGCTTGCCCACTAATATTTCACTACTCCACTTTTTGTCATCAGACCTACACTTGGGTTTGGGGCCCTGCATGTGGTTTGCTGAGGTGCCATGGGACAGCAAGGATGAAGCTTTGGCTTCTCTCAAGGTCCCAGCCCACCCCCTGCTCTCTTTTGGAGGAGGCAGGGATGGAGGTTGGGTGCTGGGATGAAACCAGCCTCCTGCATGGTGAAGTCTGGGTGTAAACACCCACGTGTGCCCTTAACAGCTGGGTTTTTTTTCCTATTGCCCAAATTTCCAGAGGGCTGACCAGGGTGGGAACGGGCAGGATTTGGGCAGGCTCCCCCTGCTCCGGCAGGCAGGCTTCACTCAGGCGGTGGCGCAGCAAGTGAAAACCCAACAAGCAGCCACAGGCGCAGAGGGTTTGAACCGAGCCTGTTGCTGGTGGAGGTGACGGGGAGGGTTTGCCGGGCATGGCCAGAGTCAGAGCACTCTGCTGTGGCTTTTTGCATTTTCTTCTGAGCTGAGCTCTGCAGTGCCCTGCATAGAGGATGCTCTTCTGAGCCCTTCGGGGACAGGGAGACCTCCTTGACCAGACCCCATGAAAAATCATTTCCTGCTGCTGGTGGCAGAGAAAGTGCCTTGGCTTTCACCTGGTATCTGGGAGACTCACACAGGTGTTGCAAGGACCATCACCCCACCCGCTCTGAGCAGGGAAGAAATGGCAGCATGGAAATATCTAAGCACTTGCTTTAAAACGGGGCCCTTTGCTCAGCCCAGGGCAGGGCTGCCAGCGCGCCTTGCTCAAGCCTGCTCATTTCCTGGCCCTCGTGCCTGCCCTTGGCATGGGGCACTTTGCCTTCCTTGTCCTCTTCGGCCTAGTCAGTGACTCAGAGGAGCTTTGCTATTCTTCCCAGGGCCGTGAAGGGCTCTATCCTCTCCTGACCTGCTCCCTCCTTCCAGTGGTCCTTGCAAAACCAGGCAGCCCCAGCATGCCCTGCTTGGTGGCCGAGGGTGGTGGGAGCCCCGCCGGGCACTGCTTGGGGCTCTCAGCACCTCCTTGTCCCAGTATTTGACGAACAGGAACAACACAGCATGTTGCAAAAGGGAATTTTCCTCTCCCTCCTTGCACAGACACAGGCAGCCGTGCTCAGGCCTCAGCAAGGCGTGCACATACGCATGCAATATATTGTGGTCCCCGGAGACATCGCATGCATGTTATGTGCTGGCTTCTGTCAAGGTTCCCCCGCTGCTGCATGCTCCGTGCTCCAGCTCCCAACGGGTTTTTGCTACATTTCGGTTTTGTGGCTTCACCTAATTCCAAAAACTTGCTCTTCAGGTGGGTGCTTGAAAGGCTGCTCTCAAGGGGAAAGCTTTGCTGGGGCTGCACCCACCAGCAGCTCCTCTGCCAGCCCAGGGGCCGGGCAGCATCTTCCATGGGTGCTGGGGCTCATGTTTTGGGGCTGGAGGGGGCGGGCCCGCCC